AAGGTTTCGGAGACGATGCTCCGCCATGGGATTTGACGGAGGCGAGCGGTGAACGTCATCGAGAATGAAGGACGATGGCAGCGATTTTGTTCCCCCCTTGTGATTAATTAACATTTTAAGTAGCTTACAATGAGAAACCACATTTAAAGTGAATTTATAACTCGAACTACTTTCTAGAGAAATTTTCACTAAAAAAATTCATATAGAACAAATTTTTTAAACATACCCATTCCAACTTTTTATTTTCAAAACCGACTCTTTTTTTTTTTTTTTTACCAAAACCGACCCGATTTTATGATTAGCAGACTAATCACCTTCCTAAATAGTCGGGGTTGGCAACCCCGACTATTTAGGACGGTGTTAAACCCTAATTAGAAGCATTAAACCCTAAAAATTAATGTCCTAAATAGTCGGGGTTGCCAACCCCGACTATTTAGGAAGGTGATTAGTCTGCTAATCACAAAATCAGGTCGGTTTTGGTAAATAATAAAAAAAGAGTCGGTTTTGAAAATAAAAAGTTGGAATGGGTCTGTTTAAAAAATTTGTTCAATTCATATACCTACCTTAAAATAATTTATGATTCAAACCATATGAGTTTTTTAAGAGTGTTTTTGGGAGTTTAGTGAAAGGTTTAACTGTGAGGTAATTTATTACAACATGTACATATTTTAAAGATGGTTAATATATAAACTGGCATTTCAACACGGTTTGTGTATATTATCTTATTTTAAAGGTTTCTAGGAAAAAAAACTCAATTTTGAAATTATGCACCTTGAGATGTTTTGGACAGCATTTATACGCTCTGAAATTCCTAAAAAAATATCCACTTTTAAAATCTTATGTTATGATACCGTGGCAATCTTCTCATGAGCTTTCTCACAGGACATTTCGGTTCCGTTTGGCAAAGGGTTAATAAAGAGGGATTAAGGAGAATGATTAACATAGTTAGCCAATTCGATAATCCGAAGGACTAAATTATTAACCTGTTATATAAGTTTTGTTTTATCCCTTGTGATCAGTTTTAGTGTTTGGGAATAACAATGATTTTAACTATTTTCTTTATAATTAGAAGGGTTAACTTTTAATCCTTCTAAATAGGAGTATTAGTAAACCCCTCATTTTGAGAGGTTAACTCATTTTAATCCCTCTAAAGGGGTTAGCTTAACCCTTCTGTATTTTTATGTTTGGCAAATTATGGAGGGTTAACTCACTTTAACCCTTGTATAGATTTTTTATGTTTGGCGGGTTAAGAAGGGGTTAAGTCTCCTTAACCCCTCACTTAACCCTTTGCCAAACGGTACCAAAGCTGCGTTTGGCAAGAGGTTAAGAGAGAAGGAGTAAGTATAAGGGTTAACTTAGTTAATCCATCGTGAAGGATTAAAAATTTTCTAATTCCGTTTGGATTCGATAGTTAAGACAATGGGTTAAATCATTTGTGTTTGGCAAATGAAGAAGTGCTAAGGAGATTAATCTCATATTTTTTTTAAATATCACTTTCGCCCTTACTGAAAATTTATAAATAATTGCCTCATTAAAATAAAAGGAGTTTGAATTTATGTAAAGCTAACTATAAAAGTATTACAATTATGTATTATTCAATAAATGATTGTTCAGAAGGTAAATAAAAATAAATTATCATTTTCGCGTCATTTCAAAAGCTAAAGAGAGATAATGAGCTAACAAAATATTATATGGCTTCTTATCTATCAATAAAAAGATTTGATTATTCAAGGAAAAAACAATCTACTCAATAACTATATATAAAATTATAATTTTTGCTCATATAAAGATAATAAAAGACATAATTCAACCTCCTTATACTTTAATATTCGACAACTACAGATATCAATTATTCCAAAGCCATAAAGCAATCCTATTGCGAAGCTGCTCACCCCTTAAACTTTCATCTGCACCAACCATGTATTGGGGTCTTCTTCCTCCTCCTCCTCATTCATCTCTAATCCATTAAGCATATTAAAGTATTTATCATTTCCCTGATGCCTTGCAATAAAATTATGAAGAACACAACAAGCTACAACGATTTTGACTTGAGTTTTATAAAGAAATGGAGCAGGAACTTTCAAAATTTTGAATCTTTGCTTTAAAATTCCCTATGTTTTTTCCACTGCATTACGTAGTTGTGCATGTCTATGATTATATTTGTCTTTAGTATCTCGATAGGCTCTGGTGGTCCTGTTTGCAAAATCTCCAAGATGATAACGTGATCCACGATATGGGGCGATAAATTTTGAAGTATTAGCATATCCTGAGTCAACTAAGTAAAAGTGACCTAGCATATTAAAGTATTTATCATTTCCCTGATGCCTTGCAATAAAATTATGAAGAACACAACAAGCTACAACGATTTTGACTTGAGTTTTATAAAGAAATGGAGCAGGAACTTTCAAAATTTTGAATCTTTGCTTTAAAATTCCCTATGTTTTTTTTTCCACTGCATTATGTAGTTGTGCGTGTCTATGATTATATTTGTCTTTAGTATATCGATAGCCTCTGATAGTCCCATTTGCAAAATCTCCAAGGTTTAGTTATGAGGGTTAGGCCGCCCCTAGGCCAGCTCGCCCGGTGTTATGCGTGCTATTATACTGCAACCTTCTCCTCTTGCGTTGTTTTTCTATAGATGTTTAACAAAAGCTAGAAGTAATTTACCTGTAGGAAAATGTGAGATCCTGGGCTCTGATTGCAGCAGCTCAATCAATGTCACAACTAGATCTCACAAATCCCACATCACAAACAATAGAGAAAGATAGCCTAAAACCCAGGTAAAAACCTGCATTTATTCTGTGCAAGTATGCCTTCAAGACTCAATGCAGCATTGATCAAATGAAAATTTCATATAATTTAATAAGGCTTGCTTAAACTTTTATAAGCTACCATTCATCATTTGGCAAAGGCAGGTCCCCCATCAACATCCTCCTCCGTAATTATGTCCACAAATCGGTATCCAGTATCCATATACTAATGATCAAATGTCTGCCATTTTCACTCCATACTATATCAAACAATTTTCTCTATGCTCTTATTTCGCCCTTTGTATAAGTCAAAGCATCAAAATTCCAAGGTCAAAGCATATCTTCTTGAAAACCAAATATTATTTATGGCAGGTTTATTGCGATTGCGTAATTAATCTTTTTCTTTACTTTTCTATAAATTTTATTATGATAAATTTTCAGAACCAATCTAGTCCGCCATGGATTAATACAATATTGTTAGGGGGCGGAGGCGATGGGCAATGCGAGCCAACCGCATACTCACACCCCGAATCTAACCTGACCCAGACTCATACAGGTCGTCGGCTAGGTTGGGTTGTCTCCGAGACCCGCTAACAAAAATCTTAAGTTCAGCCCTTGGGCTTGCTGAGTCTAGGTCCGACCCAACCTGGCTAAAAATCTAACCGAACCGGTTCACACGTCAGGCCCGATCGGGGGAATGCCCACCCCCAATGATGTCATTTGTTGAGTTATATGAGGGGAGAAAGAGAAAAAAAGAAGAGAAAGCTTAGAGAAGAACCTTCCTAGGGTTTTCTTGAAGCTTGTTGGGGGCTAAATTGGAGCAACAGTCTTTAAAGGAGAAGCAACCTCTAGAGGTGTTTATGTTGTGCAAGTCCTTTCCAAAGGTTAGATATTTTTGGGGCCCATATTTGTAATTTTCACATCCATAGTGAAATACATTTTTCCCCCTTTATTTTATTTTCTATTATTTATTATTAGTTATTATTATTGTTATTGTTGTTGGATTGTTTTCCAATCGTCTTATATTTGGCCTAACCATATGTAAATTCTTCTCTCTCTTTTGGGGCTTGCTATTGTTCTTGTTGTTTGCCCTTTTATTAGTAAATAAGCATGTAGACTTTGCATCCCAGTAGGAAGCGAAGTGATTCTACACAACCCTCAGTTTATAATCCAGCATATAGTAAAGAAGTACTTTTGAGTGATTACATTCATGTGAAATACATTACCTAGAAGTTCAATGGATGCAACTCTTAGGTGGAACTCAAAAACGCATATCAAAGTATTGGAAGAGAGTTCCCTGTATTTTCATATGATCATGCATTTGCAATTGCGCTTGTTGCGCCCCAATCAACCCTTAAATCTTACAGTTCAGATATTGATCTCACAAGCATTTCTTCAACACACATCATAAACTCTGAGATCATGTCGAAAATAAGAACTAACTAGTGTGCTCCTCGTGCAAAACACGACCCCCATTTTTTATTTCCGCTATAGTAATTCTGTTTTTAAATGTTTTTGTAACCACTACAGAACATTTTTAAATGATTCAGTATCCGTCGTGCGACAGTGATAACGCTGCAGTAATATTTTTTTAGATCACTGCAGTCCCCGTATGTGCTATAGTAATAACGCTACAGTAAATTCCTGTATCGTTTTACTGTGGTATGAATAGTAAATCCTCCTCTACTCTATACAAACGGGAGGACACATGGTTCACTATTCATGCTACAGTAGCATTTACTGTAGCATTATTTGCGGAAGCAAATATTGAACTGGGCACTGTAGATTTTTCTGAAAAAATATTACTATAGCACACGGAATAGTGCTGCAGAGGCATGATACAGCAATTTAAAAATACTGTAGCAGTTAGAATCGGGATTACTGTAGCAGGCAAAAAAATCTTGCTTTGCACAGTGTTCACACTAGTATTATTATGGAGGAATAGATGCATTGTATCTTGATACAACCGGAAAATACTTAACAGCACCGTTGAACCAAAAATCCGCAGTGTATACTGATCCAGAGGAGAGAAATAAGGTATTTCCAGAAGAAAAAAATGCATTCACCACTTATTAGAAGTTCTTCCAGAATAACGCACATATGGCGAACATAAAACTTAATTTTTACCAGATATTTATGAAAATAAACCGACAGCATTGTTCAGAAGCATAAACTGGCATTTGAGCCTTATGCATAAACCTTACATTCAGAAAACAAACCCACGGATCTCGGATTGCTTATCCAAGAAAAGTTAAAACAGAAGATCTCTGCACAATGTCATTTATTTGCTTTACCCCAATTTCCTTCAAAATTTACTTTTTGGCACCGTTGGCGGCAACTTCTCCATCAACAGCCAAAGGAACGGATTTTGCCTGAAATAAAACATGTATCAAATTGACTGTAACCATTAACTAACAAGCATGTTTCACAAGGGAGGTAACTCACCAAATTGCGGTACTTAAGTGCATAAAACATCTCAAGGTAGCGCTTAGTCTCACGGCGTTCCAAGTTAGAGACGAACTTCCAGAAGCCATAGACACCAGATAAAGTCATCAGACTCTCAGAGTACTTCTTCCAGGTGTACCTAAACACACGAAGTAGTATGTTAGTAACAAAGCCTCCAACTCTGAAAAAAAATTTAAAGTTTGATTACCCTCCATTCGTTTTCGATATTCATTTAGAGAGTTTGTTAATGATACAGTTAAAAACCTTAAAAAATACAGATATTTATGATGCAACATTTTCCGCCCTTGCCATTAGGTTATATTTTGACTATTTTATTCCTGCAATTTCACTGGTAAGTTTCTAGACAAACGATTTAACATCAGCAAGTCAAATAATTAAAAACTATCCCTAGCGTTAATTTATATAAAATTACAGGTCAAACATTGAGCTGTAATTTCTGTTATTGTATTTTTAAAATGAGATAATGCATCTCTAGGATCTCGAGACATATTAGTGCAACTGCAAGACGAATTATTTAGTTTTCTACCTAAATATTATTCACAGAGAGGAGAGTGCTAAGATTAATCATAAATAAGATAATATTGTTAACTTACTTCTCTTCAATTCTCCTTAATCCTCCATTAGAGAGCTTGTCCCAGTGGGTAGGGTCTTGCTTGCACTTCTCGAAGAAATTCACAATCAGCTCAGAAGCTTTGTCCCCCTGATAAGGATCAATATGGTAGCCAGAAACTCCATTCACTATAATCTCTGCTGGCCCTCCATAGACAGTTGCAAACATTGGCAGACCGCAGGTCATAGCTTCAATCACGGTAAGCCCGAAAGCTTCATATAGAGCAGGCTGAAAATAAAGAATTGCAAGTAAATCACCAACTTGATAAAAAAATTCTAAAGGCTATGATGTTATCTGTCTGCAATAATATGCTTGCTATAAATCATTACCAGTTATCGTATTAGGAGCGCCTCACATCCATTCAGTTCAGGAGCGAGTTCAGTTTAGCAAAGAAAAAACATGTGGTGGAATTTAGTCGCTTATTGGAAAAACAAATAGATGGGCATATGGTTTAATATGCTTAGGCTTATGATTCAATGAGAGTTCTTTTTCGAGTCAATATGGAGACAATATTAACTTGTTATCAGGACAGCTACAGACAATGATTTCGAAACTGGTAATACCTGAACAAAAGCCCCCTTAGTATCAGCAATGCATCGGTAAAGCTCCCCATTACGGACCCGGTTCATCTGTGCAGAGATCCAACGGATGTGACCTTCCAACTTATGCTCCTCAATGAGCCTATACATTTTCTTTTTCTCCTCCAGCTCCTCAAGATCCTTAGATTCCTTCTTATGATCTCCAGCCACTACGACAAGGTTAACGAGCTCCTGCAAACGGCGATTCTTACCATACCACTCTACCAATCCCGTTATGTTCTTCACCCTATCCAACCGTGCCATAGAGAATATTATAGGCTTGCTCTTATCCTTCAAGTACCCCCTAAAAATTTCCCAAGAATTTGGTTAATAATCTAAATTGTTAAGGGACTAAGAACAGGGAAAGATCAGGACGGAAGTGGGAGCTTACTTGTGCTCGGTGTTGTCAACAGGGTTGTAGAGTAATTCTTCGATCTCTGAGTGGAAAGCAGTTAGCCTCCTACTCTTCTCAGAGTAAGGGAAGTAAATGGACATGTCAGCCCCAGGGGAAACAATGTTGAACTTCGGATCAAATACGTTAATCCCATGCACAACACGGTAGAGTCCAGGAAGAGTGAATGCAGTATGAGACTCGTATTGTCCCACAGTATCCTTGCTGAAATATAAATATATATGCAAGAAATTGTGCTTAAAAGGCCATAACTTTTAATGAAGATACTAAAAGCATGTAGAAAGAATCACATTAGTACCTGCCAGCAATCTCCTGGAAAGTACTGGTGATGATGAAGTCGGTATGATTCATAGCAATCAGATCAGCTGTGAATTGGCAAGAGAAATGATACTGGTCCTCAAACTTCTTCCAGTAGATATCGGAGTTCGGGTACTTGGTTTTTTCCAAAGCATGGGCAATAGTGCACTGGTATCACATGAGCAAAATAATCAAATATAAGAATCAGAAGATACAGTGAGAAATAAGATTATTGTTTTATTCTATAAAGATTTAGTATTGGGAAAGAAAGATGTTGGCAAATTCTTTTTGCATCTAAACCTGAGTAACTCCTAGTTTATGTGACAATAGAGTCGCCACAAGATTTCCATCACTGTAGTTTCCAATGATAAGATCTGGCCTGCCCTGCAATTCTCCGGCCAGCTCATTGGCAACATCCTATAGCAACATCCAAAGCTTTATAAACATGCAAAATGTTTAAAGTTCAATGAGAAATTTAGTATAGATGAGGAATTTTACATCAGCAAAAGTCTCGAGATATGGCCACACTTCAAATCGAGAGATCCACTTACGGAGTATCCCGTTCTCATTTCTGAAAGGGACACGAAGAATGCTGGTGTGCTCAGTTCCAAGCACCTTCTCTAGCCTCTGGCCACAAGTTGTCCCCACTGCATCTGGTAGCAACCGAGTCACCTACACAAGTCAAATGTTAAACGTAGAG